AAACATATCCAATGCTGGTTTTTTTGGAGGGATTTGCAGTCAAATGCTCATAAAGAGACATGTTGTAAGTTTTTAGTCTTATTAGTTCTTTGGCAGCCAAAAGTTGAGCCCTCAGATTCGTTGGTAAAATCCCAGCAAGAGCGCATACTACATGATTGGGAGTAGATGGAGCAAGCCCTATATTTCTCCTTATAGTTTGGTTTTGAAAACTTGTTATTTTTTTTATTAATATATGTTGGTCTGTGCGCCATGGACGATACTGCATATTCTGTTTTGGAGAAAACTATCGATTTTGAAATATTAATAGCTTTAGCGGGATGAAGACCATGTTTTGGACCAGTGACCATTTTTAAAGCGTTAATAGTGTTCTTACTCGAAAGCATCACCTCATCATAATGCTCTTTGAGTGAGAGACTGTTTTTAATATGTCTTCCCAGAAATTTTATAGTTTTGACAGTGGTTACAGGATTTCCATTTATTAATATGTGAGGGTTCTTTCTACTGCCTTTTGCAACATACATGACCGCTGTTTTTTCTGTATTCACTTCCAGGTTGAGTTTTTTAAATAAGGAGACCATATCGGTAGTTTTGTTTTGTAAGATTTTGTTAGCATGTTCAAAGTTGGAATTAGCAACTAACAGAATGAAATCATCGGCATATTGAAATAGTGTTGTGTTTTCATCAGTTATACCATGAAGTCCTATTGTGTATAAATTAAACAGTATTGGGCTTAAGCTGCTCCCTTGTGGGATACCATTGTATATTTCAAGATTAGTGTTACCCATGTGAAGAATGCGTTTGGATAGGAAATTACCAATCCATAATATAATTTGGTATGGGATATTCAATTCCAATAGAATGGTAAGCAAACAGTTTAGATCGACACATTCGTAAGCCTTTGACACATCCATTGAGAGAAGTAAAACTTTTTTATTTTTTTTCCTTTAGAGTATTTACTGTGTGAAGAATGTCGTTGATACATGTTGAGGTTGATACATGTTTCCTATATGCGTATGATCTTGGTGGAAGTATATTATTGTCTTCTATGAATTTAGTTAGCCTTTGTTTCACCATTAGGTTTATTATCTTCGCAAGCACAGAAATAAGAGCTATTGGCCTAAAATTGGTAATGGAATCTAAATTCTTACCCCTCTTGGGTATGGGTATTATTTTAATTTTCCTCCATTCAGCAAGAAATTCGTTGTTCTGCCACAATTTATTGTAAGATGCCAGAAGGTTTGCTTTCCCTTCTTGGGAAATTTTGTTAACCATTTCATAGGTTACTCCATCCAGACCAGCTGCCGATGGTTTCTTCTTTTGTTCAAGAACATTATTCAATTCATCCATGGAAAAATCTATTGATTGACAAATTGGGGATTGTGTAAAAAATAATTGACTATTATTAGGAACTTGATCCCTCAAGTGACGGAGGTACGCTTCATTATTTTCAGGACACAACTTGGAGCCAGTGTGAGGTTCGAAAAAGGATTTGCAACTTTTAATATAACGAAAGAGTTCTTTGGAATTAGACATTTGATTTAATTCAAAAAGTTTTTGGCGTTTTGCTCGATTTTTGGCACGTTTTACAGCTTTTTTGAAATTATCTGTAGCCTCGATTGCATTTAGGGCGTTTTCTGTATTTTTATATTTCTCGAATTTCTTTTCGGCTGCCTCTTTTAATCTCAAATACTTATTTAGGCCATCATTCCACCATGAATTGAATTTTTTTCCAGATTCAACGACGAAAGTTGATTTTTTTATTGAAAGATGTAAATCCTGCTGAATTGCTTTCATATTGGTTCCAAGTTTGAGATTTGATAGATTGTTGAAAAGATGTTTTTTCGCTAAAAAATATTGGTTTTTTGGCGTAACATTGCCTATAGTTATCAAGATTGGTTTGTGGTGACTTCCACCTATTGTTATATTTTTTACGCTCCATGTCAAATTTGAGAATGTGTTCGTAAAAGTGAGGTCTAAAACCGAACCAAAGGAATTATCAAAAATATTCTTTTTGAAAGTGGCTGAACCATCATTAATGCACCTGAAAGCTGAATTATTCATAAGAGTTTCCACAGTGGATCCTCGCACTGTATCAAAAATGTCTCCATATGCTTTACATCTAGCGTTGAAGTCACCAGCAATTATAATATTCGGTTTTTCATCCAGAAAAATTAATAGTTTTGACAATTCAGATTTCAATAAGTTGGATTTTACTGAATGTGGAAAATATACTGAGGCAAAAGTAAAATTTTCCGTTAGATTAGTGGTTTCGCCGATTAGAATGTCCAATGTCGAGTTAAAGGGTAATCTTTTCATATTTATGGAGTTTTTGTGCAGTATGGCAACACCTCCATAATTATCACTTCTTTTTTTGCAAAATAGTTTATAGTTTTTTATATACGAATTTGACAAGTTTTCGTCAACATTGAAAATTTCACTAAGAATGCATATGTCTACAGAGTATTTGTTTAAATATACCTCCAGGTAGTTTTTATTTTTATTTAAACTTTGAATGTTGTGTTGTAGAATTATCATCTTGTGTATTAATGTTAAAAGTAATTTCTTTTGAGGGGGCTTTTAAGGCGTCTGATAGACCGTTTAAGATATCTAGACCTTCTTTGCAGTTTGCGTTGGCTAAGACCATTTCCATTTGTTTAGTAAAAGATGATAGAATTTTTTCGTAATGTGAGACCTTTGAAAAATTTGTGAAATCAAAGGACGGTTTAGTAGGCGTAAGAGATTCAGAATCTGCAGTGATCAGCGATCTTTTGGGTATTTTTGCTGCTACTTTATTATAGCTCACTCTTGTGAGTCTGCGATTGAATTCGTCATTAAAAGTTTGAACTGGAGGCTTAGTTTTGTTGGCCAGTGAAGGAAATTCATTTTCATATTGGGGTTCATCTAGAATTGCATAATAATTGGCTGAAGCTTTACGGGTACATTCCTTCCTAGATAGGTTTGAAATTGCCATTGCTTCAAGGATATTTTTTTCATAAGCGTACTTCTCACATTTTTTTACATCCATGGCATTATGATTATATTTATTGCATAAAATGCATCTGGGAAGAGTACAAAAGGTGGTACACTTAATTGTGGAGAGGCATGTGTCACATTTTTGATCGGTGCAATTGTTAGGACAATCAATGTTTTGACCGCATAGGATACACCTTTTTTTTGACCTGCATCTTGTTGCAATGTGACCTAAACGGCCACAATTCTTGCAAAGACGAACTTGTGGAATATAGAATTCAGTTTCAACCAACGAATTAAACATTTTGAGTTCTTTTATTATAAAATCTGCTGCAATACCGACTTTGATTGTCTGTGAAGGAACATACTGACCATTTTCATTTCTGTATTTGAAACGGTATACCGAAACACATTTAAAATCGTTGTCACTGTTATTGATTTGATCAAAAATCATCTTCCCTGTGAACTCAATTGGCACAGATTTTATAATATAAAATTTCTGCACAAATCTGTCCGGTATAAACGCCGTCAGACCAATGCGTTTGACATCGGGATTTAATACAAAATTATTTGCGGAATTAGCGTTGTTAAAACTCAAACGGAAGGTCTTGTACCCTACATTCTTGGACACAAAATGGGCGTTAATGTTGGCATTGGCTAGCTTTGCATATAGATGTAGTTCTGAGTTTTTCCTTCTGGAAGATATTGGTTCATCAGAAGTTAGCATGACATAGTAAGGGCCAGGATGTGCTTGATTATATAGAATAGTATTGTTTTCATTAATATCGTAGCTGTATATATCGGTTTTATTGGGAAAAATTGAGGCATTTGCATTATTAGAGTTTTTGCTATTGTTGGTTATATTTGTGAAATTTGTGTTGTTAGTGTTTGTTAGTTCATTATTTTGTTTATTGTTTTCACTTAAAGCTTGATGAGGCTGTATTTGATATTGTGTATGTGGTGAGTTTGATGCAACTGATAGTGTTGTTGGAGGTATTTGTGATTTTTGTATTGACGGCGAAAGTTTAAAATTTTTGAATTTTTTTGATTCCTGGTTGTTTGAGGTTTCAGATCTTCTCCTCGGGTCCAGCCGAGGAGGCGGCTCCTCGTCCCCCATGATCACCAGATATTGTTGTTATTGGAATACCAAATTTTATTTTAAAAAAAACCAAAAAGCAGAGAAAAAAGCGAAATTGGTTATGTGTTAATGTGTGTGTGTATTGTTTATGCGTAATATGCAGAGAGAAATTAAAAACATAAAAAAGCGACCCGCGCGTATTTAGTCTAACATCAACAAAGGTTGAGAAGCGACTGCAGCAACATTTATATTGGCATGCATGGTTGTACATATTTGACAGGCTCAGGCACAAATATTGCATAGTTGTATTCGGATTTTTGAAATGAGACTACCTGTATTATTTTGCCATGCGTAGACACCAAACCTGGGCAATTTATGCCATTTAAAGGCAAACGAATAAACAAATATTTTAAAATAAGAAAAAAGTGGTTCGAATTTGAATATTTCTATTGTAATTTGACAAATATTTTCATTCCATTTGTTATTTTTTTGAAATTTAATCCATGAACTTGTCTTTGACTGTCCTTTCGATTATAGGGTGAGATACATCATGAAGCTTGACTACATTCCCTTTATGTATATCCCTCTTATGTCTCTAATATGGATTTGTTTTATTTTTTCTTTACATTCACCTCACTTTGTATTATTCTTTAATTCTTTAATTTCTTTCAATTCGTTCGCTTTAAAGTTGGCAATCCTTGCATCAGCATTGCAAGAAAAATTGCCTTGTGTAAATCGATACGTCGTTATGTGTACGCAACAATACTCTCTCAACTGAACTACTGTGCAACTGGGAAAATAATAACAAAAGAGAAATATAGAAATGCCATCATCCGAAAGAAGGGAGGTGACAATATATAAATAAACAGTCAAAAAGAAAACAATATTTTTTATTTTGTTGATAAAATATATGATAATTTTAATGCAAGACCAGTAAAAATATTAATTTAACAGTCAAGATAATGCAAGCACAGCCAAAGGAGACAATTACCAACGTTCCCGGTGAACAAAAAGAAAAACTAATAGTTGTCACGGGATTCGGACCGTTTGTGGGACATGAAGATGTAAATGCCAGCTGGGAAGCGGTAAGTAATTGAGAAATTAATATTTAATTAAATCTCGATAAGAAATAATAGAAATATATGCTTCCTGTTTCCATTTATATTCTAGGTTAGCCTTTTGCCCGATGAAATTGTTCACGGCAGCACGGCTTATCGTTTGGTAAAAATCAAAGTACATGTTGAATATGAAGCCGTAGATAAGGCTGTTGAAGAAATCTGGGCTCTACGCCCCACTTTGGTAATACACTGTGGCGTCAATGGGCATTCCTCGTGTGTGCATGTGGAGAAGCTGGCCTACAATAACAATTTCTGTAAACGCGATTATGCCGGCAAATATTTACCCGATGCCAGGGCATGTCTACAAAATTGTCCTGCCAAAAAGACGGCATTATTTTGTAAATTGAATGTACAAAAAATTGTACAAGTGGTAACGGATAATTGTGGTTGTACTCCATCGAATGATACTACGGATAATATAATGACCGAAAATCTGGATAACTTGAAATTGGCCAAAGTTTCCAAAGATGTTGGCAATTATTTGTGTGGTTATATTTATTTGAAATCATTGGATTATGATTGTTCTCGTACGCTGTTTGTTCATGTACCACCGCTAGATAAACCATTCCCAGTTGAGAAGTTGAGTGATGTGGTCCTGAAGATAACACAAGAGTGTTTACGCCAAGTCATTGATGGTGTGGATAAGAAAGATAAATGATTTTATTATGTTGATGTTTTTTTTTTAATTTAATATTGTTTATATAAATGTATATACTAAAATTTGTAGTATCTTTTATTATTGATGTATGAATAAAATTCGTATGTGTGTAATTAAACTGGGATGTTTTAGTTATTTTATAAAGCTGAAGAGTCTTTTTAGACGATTGGAAGGGAGTGTTTTTAGACGGTCCGAAAGGAGTCTTTGTTGTCCAGCTGCTCGCCTATAAATATCCTCTCCAGTTCTTCTATGTTAGACTCCCTCATTGGAGAGGATATTTATTGACGAGCTGAAGGGAGTCTTTATAGACGAGCTGAAGGGAGTCTTTATAGACGAGCTGAAGGGAGTCTTTATAGACGAGCTGAAGTCTTTATAGACGAGCTGAAGGGAGTCTTTATAGACGAGCTGAAGGGAGTCTTTATAGACGAGCTGAAGGGAGTCTTTATAGACGAGCTGAAGGGAGTCTTTATAGACTTCTTTATAGACGAGCTGAAGGGAGTCTTTATAGACGAGCTGAAGGGAGTCTTTATAGACGAGCTGAAGGGAGTCTTTATAGACGAGCTGAAGGGAGTCTTTATAGACGAGCTGAAGGGAGTGTTTATAGACGAGCTGAAGGGAGTCTTTATAGACGAGCTGAAGTGAGTCTTTATAGACGAGCTGAATGAATACTTTATAGACGAAATGAAATTCCGCTTCGGTTTTATAGTCGAACTCTTAATTGGGTAAACCATGAGCATTTTCTAAAAACGAAGGGAAGTGCCTTGATGATTAAATGGTCTTATAAAGACCTGTGACAAAAAGACCATAGGAGTGTATAAAGACCAATAAAGACCCACAAAGGGGTCTTTATAGACGAGCTGAATGAATACTTTATAGACGAAATGAGGAAGTCTTTATAGACGAACTGAATGGAATCTTTATAGACGAACTGAATGGAGTCTTCATAGACGAACTGAATGGAGTCTTTATAGACGAACTGAAGGGAGTCTTTATAGACGAGCTGAAGGGAGTTTAATTGAGTTGAAAAAGTCATTTCTAAATGAGCTGAGTTGACGAGTTTAAGGGATTCTGTATTGATTAATGACTTCAGGTCATTTATAAATGACCTGAAGTCATTCTTTATAGAGAAGATGAGTACACCCTTTATAGAAGTACTGAAGGGCTTCTATTTAGATTTACAATGACGTTCTTAGATCACCTCATGTATAACCCAAAATGGTGTACAGTATCGTAAAGTCGGCCAGTACGACGTCCTTACTGGTTATCATTGAAACACAAATAATATAATTTGGGTTGTTGTTCCGTTCCTTTTTATGTTCCGCATTTATATTTTATTCTGCGGAACTTTGAATTCAAAAAATGTTCTTCTGAGTACAGCTGAACGGAAAATAACGCCATCGGATATTTAAAATTGTTTCATCGTACCGCATATGAAAAAAAAACAACACTCTGCAACATTTTCAAGTTTAAATTCCGCTTCGGTTTTATAGTCGAATTCTTAATTGGGTAAACCATGAGCATTTTCTAAAAACGAAGGGAAGTAACTTGATAACCAACTGGCCTTATAAAGACCTATGACAAAGAGACAATAGGGGTGTATAAAGACCAATTTGTCTGTAAAGACCCACAACGGGGTTCATTAGGACCAATTAGTCTGTGAAGAATCCACAGATTCTTCTAAAAACAAATTAATTTGTATCAAGACCAAAGGTCTTTTCCGAACGGAAAATACAAAAAAAAAAAAAAAAAATATTTGCATATTCAGTGTTACACTGTGTAATCAAAAAAATTTACGTATTTTTCAGTTCAATAAAAGAGGGGTTATGAAGAGGTCTTGATCGGTAAATAACTTAAGAAAGAAAAAAGTATTTTAGAATTGTTGATCTGGTAAATTAGTACGAAAGAAAATGCCACCACAACTAAAGGAATTGATTGGAAACTCACCTGATGAACGAAGCATAAGCATTTTTGAAGCATAAAGATCTCAATGCCAGCTTGGAAGCGGTAAGTAAATAAAATTATTTGTTTTTTTTTAATAAATTTTATATTGCATTTCAATTTTCTACTGCAGATAAATCTACTCCCAAATAAAATTATACATAACAACATGGCTTATCGTTTGACAAAATTCAATGTACCCCCAGAATATGAAGCTATCGATAATGCTGTTGAAGGAATTTGGTCTTTACATCCGATACTGGTAATACACTGTGGCGTTTATCGTCGTTGTTCCTGTGTACATTTGGATAAATTGGCATACAATAATCATTTTCGTAAAAAAGATTTTGCTGGAAAATATTTACCCGATGCAAGGGCAAATCTACAAAATAACCCAACGAAGAAGACAGCATTATTTTGTAAATTAAATGTACACAGAATTGTACAAGTTGTATCGGAAAAGAGAATGAAATTAGCAAAAGTGTCGAAAGATATTGGCAATTATTTGTGTGGTTATATTTATTTGAAATCTTTGGATTATGATCGTTCTCGTACGCTGTTTGTTCATGTACCACCGGTTGGTAAACCATTTCCAGTTGAGAAGCTGAGTGATGTGGTACTGAAGATAATTGAAGAGTGTTTACGTCAAGTTGTTGATGGTGTGGAAAAGGAAGATAAAGGATTTTAAATTATTTTAGATTTGTTTATTTGTAAAATTGCAGTACATATTATTAGTGATATATGATATAAACTATGGTGTTTTAGATATTTGTTAATCTTTATGTAACATGGAAATACAGGACTATCTATAGACGAGATGTATTAAGTCTCTTTTCAGAGATAATGTGAAGGGAGCATTTATGGAAAAGCTGAAGGAAGATTTTATGGACTGAGTAGAAATGAGTCTTATATACGAGCTGAAAGGAGTCCTTATAGACGACCTGAAAGGAGTCTTTATATAGGATCTAAAGGGCGTATTTATAGACTTGTTGTGTTCACTCACATGAAGGATATTTGTCCCCTCACTTTTTTCTCTTTAAAAACTGGAGGCAGACCCTCCTCCAGCTAGTCCACTTTCTATTAGAATAGAAGTTATATGACCATACACCATATGAACGAGATTATCTTATATTTTTTCGTTTAGTTCAATAAAACACGTGGCTAGTTAAGCGAAAGCTTGATTAACTCTTTAAATTCGCATTTCTTGTGAGCTGTCCGAAGACGAACTGGTCCCCTCAATTAAGTGGTAAATCGGAGTCAAGTTTAAGTTTATATTTATTGAGCCTTTTTTTTAAACAATGTTAATATATAAATAAGATACATAATATGAAGGACTTATGACTATAATGTATTATCGTAATGCAGTGACAGACATTACAGCACCTAGCTTTTACATGAAATGAGACATAAAATGTGGGTATACATCAGTTAAAGTTACGTACATCCTTGCTCCCGAGACTAATACAATAAGAAGGGATAATTTATCCAGGGTTTATGAACTTAAAACTAATGATACAAAACAAAAACCAAACAAAACAATGAACAGACAAAAAAGTAAAAGTAGGTAAATCAATAACTACCCACGATGCGTACCGGTCAGTGCCTTTTCGTAAAACTGGGTAATACCCGCTTCGGACTCGTACTTATACCCTATAGGTGATGGATAATTTGTGTTATACCAACCAATGTTCACTTGACTATTACATGCTTCATTCATATGCACATTTTCATGAAACTCCAATCTTGCATTGAACTTATCCAAGATCGTACAGATATAGGTAGACATACGTTGCAATTTTGAATTTTCATAAATAAAATTATTCGAATATCTCTTATTGACACATATAAAATTTTTTCTGATGCAAAGTCTCAAAATTTTTCTCTTAAAAACCTCTAGATCTTTCACAACAATTGGTGATATGTTAAACCAGACAGGAAAGGCATACAAAATAACAGGCCTTATACATGTCTTGTACAACATTAATTTTGTACTTGCAATCAAAGCTTTATTGTTCAGAATTCTCAAAAATAAAATAAAAATTCCTCGGGCCTTATTTAATGCTTTTCTAGCATGTGAATTAAATTTAAATAGTTTGTTAAACTCTACTCCCAAGTACGTAATTTTGCCTCTAAAGGGAATTTCAATGCCATTTAATGCCAGTTTTAAATTCTTACTCTCGGGAACTACAGAACGTTTACATTTTCCAGATGCATTTCTAATGCAAATTGCTTCGCTCTTGGAAGTGTTAATTTTGATTCCCCATTCATCATAAAATTGCTTAACATTATGCAGGTATTGTGAGATATTGTCAGTAGCACAAACTGGTGACTCGTGGTGTGAGTACAAAAGTGCGTCGTCAGCGTACAGAATACCCGAAGCGTTTTCTTGGGTATGAGGGAAATCGTACATTAAGATGTTGTACAAATGCGGTGCTAGCACAGATCCCTGCGGGACGCCAGAGCTTATATGTGACAATTCGGACACTTGATTTTTATATAGAACGCAAAATTTTCTGTTTGTTACGAAGCTCTTAAATAATTTAACAACCTCAGGGCTGAATCCAATTCTTATCATTTTGGTCAATATTCCATAGTGGGAGGCATGATCAAAGGCCTTCTCTACATCTAGGGAAACTGCAACGGTACACTTCTTTTCACGAAGGTTCAGAACGATATCATTTGTGAATTTAGTCATTGCATCAACTGTGGAATGTCCTTTCTGAAACCCGAACTGTGAATTAGGTATATACGGTAAAGTGACTCCTACATCCATTTTAATACGTACAATCATTTCAAAAAGTTTACCAATGTTAGATAACAAGGATATAGGCCTCAAATTAGATATGTCATCATTATTGGGTTTTTTCTTTATGGGAACAATTTTAGAGACTTTCCAAGATTCTGGGAAATAGCCGTTTGAAATGCAGTTATTAAAGATAATGGTAAGAAATTCAAAGGCCTTTGTTGGAAGCTTAAGAATTGTGAAATTAGAAAGTTTGTCTATTCCGAAAGATTTCTTATTTTTAATAGTGTTAGCAACAGCCAGAATTTCATTTAAATTTGTTAAATTTACACATCCTGTTTGATTTCTAGCATCTGAATCACTGGAAAATACGTGACAGTTCTGTGGAACGTTTGCAATATACCCGTTTACAAAATCTTCACTTACAGAAGGGAGGCTAGCAGCGTTATTATAAATGTTATAGAAAAAAGATTTTAAAAGCGTAAGACATTCAGAATCATCACTTATAACAGTACCATCTACGGCAAGTTTGTCTATCGGACGGGATCTGTGATGACCAATAATCTTAAAAACTTCCTTATGCGCCTTTGGCCCCGGTTTAATATTTTTAAGTTTATCTTGGAAATTCGAAACTTGCTCAAGTTCTACCTGTCTCTTTATCATTATACTTAATAATTGGATCTGTTTCGATAATCTCAGATATTCCGGACTGCGCCTGTTATTGGAGATACGGTAAATCCGTTTAAGCTCCTTTTGCCAATTATATTTTATTTTGAACAGCTGTTTTATCCTATCTGATACTGTAAATTGTCTTTTTTTCAAGTCAATTTTTTCAGAATGAAATTCAGAGACCGAATTAACCACAGAAGTAAAGTGATCTACATACTGATCGATTTCATCGTTAGTCAAATTTCTATCAGTATTGGGATAATGGTCCAAAATACCTTGAGCTACATCATATTTGAAATCATTCCAATTCGTATTTTTGTAGCTTATAAAAGTAGGTAGTGGCTTTAAAATAATTTCGACACTTGGAAGATTAACGCTAAGCTTGAGTGGATAGTGATCTGAAAAACTTGGTAAACAGGAAGTAGAATATATAGGATTGGGCAAGTCTATAGCATTAGAACTGATAAGAAAATGATCCAAATATGATGAACCATTAGGAAAAGTAGGACAAGAAGAAGATATTCTGGTAAAGAAATGTGGATGTTGTTGGAGGTGATCATAAAAACTATTCCCATTTATGTTATTCATGGTATCCCCCCATGAAACATGTCTGGCATTAAAGTCGCCGCCAACAAAGGTAAGATCAAAATCCCTGGAATATTGACCTAAACAAATCAGAGAACGTGAAATCTGCGATTGATCAGAATTCCCCGGTAAGTAAATGGAGCCAAGCAAAATTTTTCTAAGGGCGCCATTAATATAAACATCAATCGAGATAAATAAACTAGGGAAACTAAAACCCGAAATAATCTCTTTACTGAACTTGTAATTTTTCCTTAGCAAAATAGCTACCCCTTGTGAGGTATTGTCTCTGAGAAATTGACAGCCCTCAAAATTAATATTTGCACCAGGTCGCAAGTGCGTTTCTTGAATGAATGCAACGTCTATATCATGGGTGTTGACTAACTTGTACAATTCGTATTTACGGCCATATTCAATTAATGACCTAACATTAAATGTGATGAGATTTAACATATTACGGACCATAAGTGATATTAACTTCGTGCAAGAGACTAACACATTGTTGTATAGCCTCATCCTTTGACATTGATTTATAATTTCTTAGGAAATTCAAAATTTTATCTTCTAATGAAATCGTCTTAGGGGGACAAATTTCTTTAGCGATTTTTAAAAAATCTTCAATAAGTCTCGGTCTCTGTGAAGAGCCTGAAGTTAGGTTAGCGGAACACTTACGGGATGCATCTGAATAAGAAATATCCGGCTGTATAATAGAGGATAAAGCATTAAAAACATTATTATTTACTTTCGATTTTCTTTCCAAAGCAACTGTTTTAGCTCTCTTCTTCAGTTCAACATACTTTTTATATTCAGGACAACCCCTAAAACTTGCGGGATGACCACGATTCCCACAGTTGATACAGTAGGGTAGATTCCCATCACCTTGAACGATTTTACATTCGCCTTTGGCGTGGTTTTCACCACATTTGACACAAACAGATTCTCTATTGCAATTTTGCGACATATGACCCCATTTTTGGCATCTCCAGCATTGGACATCCCCCAAGTTTCTTTTCGGCAATTCCCAATAGACTCTTTGCTTCAATACATACCTCAGCGACTTCAATTCTGATACCGATTTACCCGACAGTAGAGTTACAAGATAAAGCCCTGTATCAATATCATTTTTTCTAGAGTAAGAAGTGGTAAATTTAGAGACGTCTTGCACCGTATCTGGAACTAACATATCTAGGTCTGCCTTAATATCATCAATTTGAGTTTCATGAAGAAGTCCACGGAGAACTATGGTTTGTCGTTTCAACTCTTTTGGAGTATAAGAATACGAGTCCAACTTTTTTTTCTCGTAGAAGGCTCATTAATTCGGTGTGAACATTTGGATCTTGTAGATAATGTTTGCTTTTGTGTCTGCTTTTATTAATAATTCTAAATTCGATGTTCCTAGCCTTTAAATCATTTAACAAACTATGCAAGTCTATGCCAAAAAGAAAAATAGGGACGAACGATTTTCTATTCCTATCAGGTTTATCTACTACTTCTTTCAAAGGAGCAGGCCTATTATATGCTTTGTCAGATTTAATATCCAAATCACCTAATATGGAAAATCTGTTGCTTGACAGCACCGACTGTTCGGATGATTTTTTTGGAACATGAAGCCAAAATTGGACATATCTACCTTAGGTTTTCTGGTAATAGTTGCAATTTTTCGTTTCTTTTGCACAAGTTGAAAATCTTCGTCT